ACATTTGGGATTCAGACATTTTGACGAGGGACTATTTGGGCCTGTGCCGAAGACTTGGTGTTGACGACATTCCCATCTTTCCCTCCTCTTCGTCTTACCCCCCTCATCTTCGTCTGTGTATGTGTGGGGCTGGCGCAGTCTTCCTGTGTGAAGCGCCAGACCCCTTTCACACTCTGGGATGATGATGATGATGTATGTTCTGAGCTGCATTGCAACATTGATTGATCGGATCATTGGTATTTAAGTCTTCCATTTGCGCCATCTTGTACTTTGCATTGAGAGGTCGGTTCTTATTCTGGTCTGCACGTTACAGTATGCAACAGCGTGTGCTAACTTGCGTGATAGTTGGGTTGGGGAAGTGACGATTGCCAAGGTTTCGATGCGTGTGTGATGACGGATTGTCAGTGCCCGAGGGATTGATTGGTAGTTCGGTGGTTTTCTGGCAGTGTGCCATGCCACGGGGTACGAGAGCGGGGTAACATACTTCCTTTTTTTACGTATTTTTGGTTGATGGAAGTGGAATATTCCTCGGCGCAGTGGTCTTTGTCTCAATCCTGGCTTCTCTATGGGATTGATTGAGTTTAATGAATGAAACATGTGTCAAATCCGTCGATTGTACGACTGTTTGTCCTTATGATCTGATGTATGCATAATGAGTTGATTGTTTTCCTCATTTGAGCGACTGTCTACACAAGACTTGCAGATGAGTGTATGGATCTTTCCTTTCTCCAATTTGGCTAAATAAATGACTAGGAGTGGGGATGCTTGATTTCCTTGTGTGTTGGTAAGCTTTTGAGTCTTGAGTGTGATCTTGCTCGTCGTCTTCTTGGTTAGTTAGAATATGACTAGGATAGGAAATGTATGCTTATTCCCAACAGTTTTGTGCGCACGAATCCGTCAGATCCCTTCCATACATGCATGTATCCAACACTCGTGTGCCCACTTTTCCTTACAACCAAATTACATGTGTATGCAAGTGGGACGTGCGTGAACCACAATGCAGATCTGCCAGTCATATCTTTTCCCCAGATTCTGGTTTTGTGGGATTGGCGTTTATGACGGTGGAAACTCCCCCCCCCCCTTTATTTGATCCTTTTGTTGTATCATGAGTGCACTGTTCAAGTTATCTCATGGCCATCCGTCACGGTGGCTGAAGAGGCAGTCTTTATCTCCACATATTTTTATAAAGAAACAAAGACTATGTAAAAGGGACGCTGGACCCGGTTTCCAGCAGGTGACGCTCCCCACCAATAGATGGAGTCTCTACCCAGGTGTTAGTGGTGTCTGCTCTTATCAGCAACACTAGCATTGGTAGGGTTTGTTTTTAAAACAACAACAACAACAACAACAACAACAACAACAACAACAACAACAACAACAACAACAACAACAACAACAACAACAGTGACCCATCACTGGCCAATGACGCTATGTTCTGAGAGTAGACAAGTCGATCACTTTCGACAACGCGATTTTACTTACATGTCCCGCATTGAGGAAGACAGGCAAACAGACTTCGTATTTGCGACCATCCGATTTCGTCTCTGAACTCTACATGACATGTGAGCGCACCATCGCTCACCTTCGTGATCTGACATGTATACCCGTGATCTTTCAGCCTCACAAACGGAGGGGACGATAGGCAGGTGGCCGCTTGATTTTTTTAATGATTAGGTACCTTTAATTTTATTTTTTATTTTTTTGGGGACAAATGCTCCAGTCTATTCATGGGGAGCAGCACGTGCTGGGAACCGGGCCCAGGTACCTTTATTTTTATTTTAAACTTTGAATTTCTCTTTTCACGCCCCCAAGGACCATTCAGGCAAGTTTTTGTTGTCTGTATTATCAAATTTTTTAATTTTTTTGTGAGGCTAAGATGGCTAGCCATCTCCCTCATCGACCATAACCAGCTTGAAACCGGAACCGATACACAAAAGAGATTTGACTTTCAACCATGTTAACCGTCCGAACGTCCGGACCGGGTTCCAGACAGTCCGGTGTCCGGTGTCTGGTCCTGATGTCCGGATGGAGGCCCCTGGGGCAAAAATCAAAAAAAAAAAGGGGGCGGCCCAGGACGTTTATCGGGTCCTGGCCACCCCTCGAAAAATAATGGGGTGATTTTTCAGTGTCATTTCGCCCCACCGGACAGGGCCTAGAGGTCCGGACACAAGACACTGCAGGTTTTTGGGGTGGCGGGTGCCCGAGCAATTTCAAGGCGCCCGCCGCTGCTGCCCGTTGGAGAGAGAGAGAGAGAGAGAGAGA